AGCAATTCTGTTATTTATAAGTTTGTAAGACATCCAACATGTTTACAAGCTCCGGGTCTTGTAAACTGGGTCCACCTTGGAGCAGAGTTGGAGAAAAGATGAGAGCTGTAAGGGGAATGGACTGGCCATCACCAAGGCCTGTGTTTTGGATCAGCAAGGCTTGGAGGAAGCTAAGAAATGGGATCTGGTCCACCCACAGGATGAGGAGAAACACCGAGGGGTGGAGGTGGGGGGCAAGATCAGAGACTGAAGCCCACGCAACCCGTGACGAAGGAGGGAGCTGCTCAGGCAAAACAGCTCCCACTCACGGAGCAGCAAGGAGGAGGCAGGCATGGTGCTAGCCAGCTGGGTGCCTGAACTTGGACTCCAGCCCCAGCTCCTCCCAGCAGTTATTGTCCCCCTTGGCGTGTAAGTAAGGAACTCGGCGCTTGAGAGACGAGGGAGCTGGTTCACGGTCCCAGAGTGAGCAACCCGCTGGTTAAGAGTTAATCCCGGCCGGGTCCGCCTGACTCCGAAGTTCCCTTCCCCTATGCAAAGGCACCTTTCTTATCTTGCAAAAACATCATAAACCCTGGCTATGAAGGCCAATCCCATGAGTGATGGACAAGGGTAAGAAACCGTGTAAAGCTGTAAAACAAGAACTAAAACTAATCCTCAGGGCTCACATGGGAAATTGCCTCAGACATTTCAAGAAAGAAAGTTGGGTCGTTCGAGGAATGAAGCACCTCAGTTTCCCATTTACTTGATACTCAACGAATTGACCCATAATGAGATCAAGCCCCTTAACAAATAAAGAGCTAATGCAGGCCTAATCCCACGCGGAGGATGAAAAATGTATCTGAATCTTTGGCCCGGCCTGAAAAATCAGACTTTCGGAGTGTGGGTGGAGGCCACTGTATAGGGCGGGGAGACGTCCCCTGCTAGGAAAGGGCTGGCGTTGGACAAAGTGGCTTCAGTTAAAATTTAAATGTCAGCTGATTTCACACCGTGCTGGATCGTAGTTCTAGAAGCATTGAAAGAAGTATTTGTGTCATCTCCCCCACACTTCATGGTTCTGTTCTCCATACTAGCTCTGAGACGCGGTTTCCTTTCTTGAGGCTGCAGACTTAGTCTTCTCATCTGCAAAATGGGACGATAAGCACGTGTGCCTCGTAGGGATGTTACGAGGATTGAGCCCATGGCGAGCCCCCCACCCTTGCCACACCACCTCCTGCCACTGTACTCTGGTGACCTTCATGGATTATTTTTAAAACCTTGTGCTACTCACTCACCAGTTCTCTCCCTGTGAGATTTGTGGCTCATGCTGGACTGGATCAATTCCTTGGATGGGTTCTCAGGAAGCAACCGCTGTAATGAGGCCAGCTACGATTAGTTCTAACTAATGATCAGTTTGGGCTAGTTCTATTAGCTTTAGTTTAGAACCTTCCTTTCCCATCATGACCGAGTTGACAGCATCCCTTTCAGGAGGAGGTGACTCTGTGTTTGTCTGTCTGTTATGTTCATCAGTGGATCAACCAGCACAGAGCAGGTGATCCAAAACAGACATTATTGAACAGGCCAGGATAGTGGTGTGAGCTTGGATATTGAAGCCAAACACCTACAGTACTGGTTCTCTGCCGACAAGCTGGGTCCCACCTAAATCTCACTGTTCTCTGTGTTAAAAACAAGGATGATGACAGTAACTAATTCCCAGGCTTCCTGCAAGATTAAGTGAGATAGTGTTCACCATGGAGCCGAGCAAGTGTTCTAACACATTTTTTATTCCTCACATCAGGGAATTTCCTGTTTCAGTGAAAAATGTGTGTGATCGCTCCTGTGCAAAGGTGACAAGACAGAGGAGCTCTGAGGTTTCCCTGTCTTCCACATTTGTCTCCAATAACGTTAAGTCACCAGTTGGCTTTGTCCCTGATCAGTAGCAACCCAGGCTAGTGTCTGACACCCTGAGCTGTGGGCAGTATTTTCCACGTCTTGGGTGAGCACCCTGTCCTACTCCTCCCCTCTGTGTCCTTCTCCATCAGTGTTTTTAGAACCCCCAAGGGCCTCCTGTTGGTACCAGGGTGGGGTGTTTATTTCCACTGAGTTTTCTGGGCCCAGTGAATATGGGGACCAATGCTCTGGAAGCCTCACTGATCCTAAAGAAAATTCTGATTTTCAGCATTGCATTAATACAGAGCAGGGCCGTATCTGGTTCTTTGTTGTATCTAAAACATCCAACATGGTATGGAATGTCCTCAGAGACTTGAAGGGAAGAATGGAGACTGTGACACAAAAGTTTCTCATGAGTGGAATTAGCATCTATGTAAGATTTCAACGTAACACCGAACAGAATGTTTCTGAGTCGTGCACCGCTCAGCTTCTTTGAGCCACCATCATCTCTGGCCTGGACCATGGTGACAGTCTCCTAACTACCTCCCTGTTTCTTCTCATGCTATTCTGCCTTCTATGTTCCATACAGAAGCCAGAGGTAGCCTTTATTTTATTTTTCAGTTCTTTTATTTATTATTAAATTTTTTTTTAAATCGAAGTATAGTTGATTTACAGTGTTGTGCTGGTTTCCGGTGTACAGCACAGTGATTCAGTCATACACATATATGGTCTTTTCCCTAACAGGTAATTGCAAGCTATTGAATACATTCCCTGCGCTGTACAGTAAGACCTTGTTGTTTACTCCGTATATAGTGGCCTGCATCTGCTCACCCCAAACTCCTGATTTACCCTCTTCCCCACTCCCTTCCCCTTTGGTAACCGTAAGTTTGTTGTCTATGTCTGCGAGTCTCTTTCTGTTTTGTAAGTAAGTTCGTTTGTGACATTTGTTTAGATTCCACTGATAAGTGGTATCATATGATACTTGTCTTTCTCTGTCTGACTCACTTCGCTTAGTATGATCATCTCCAGGTCCAACCATGTTGCTGCAAATGCCATTATTTCATTCTTTTTGTGGCCGGTAGTATTCCATTGTGACTATATGCAACTTCTTTACCCAATTAGCCAGAGTTAGCCTTTAAATACCTAAGTCAGCACGGCTCTCCATCTCTGCTAGAGTAGCATCCAGATGGCCATGGCCCCGAGCCGCCAGTATCTGCCCTGGCCTCCTTTGTTCCCTCATCTCCTCACTCTTGCCTCACTTCACAGGCACTCCCTAACCCTTCTGTCTGGAATGCCCCTCCTCAGGGACTACCTGGCTCCCTCCTTCCCTTGTCCAGCTCTCCATTCCAAACAGGTCGTCATCAAAGCGGTCTTCCCTGACCGCCCATCGTGGCAGCACCCCACCTCTCACTTTCTATCACTTATTTTTTATTTTTTATTTTTCTTAAAATAACACCACGCTTTGCCTTGCTGTAGGTGTGTATGTTAGTTTGTTTATTGCCTACTTTTAGGACAGGAGGGCAGACACTTTGTTTTACTCACTGTGACAGTTCCAGTGCCTAAAGGAGTTCTTAGCACATACAGGTACTGAATAAACATTTATTAAATGAATTATTAGAAAATGATAAGATTAATAACTAAAATACCCTCGCGTCAGTGCTGCTGCTGTTTGTCGAGTGTGTTTGATTTACTTGGCACAGGCCGACTGGCTATTTGTTCACTTGCCTGAACATATCACCTCGCTGAATCCGTACAACAACCCTCTTATATTAGACAGTGAGAAATGACCACGATAATCATTGTCATAGGTGACATTTATCAAGCACCTGCTCCAGGCCAGACAGCAACTGCTGTATGAACGATTACAAGTCCCATTTTACAGACGAGCAAACTGAGGCAGTTTGATGAAACAACCAACCCGCACGATCAGAAAAGCAGTGAAGTCAGGCTTCAAGGCAACTAAGCGTGTCTCCAAACCCAAGGTGATTCTCTACCCTGCTTTCCTGGTCAGAGGGGAAATGACTTGGCCGAGGTCGGAATTTTCTAAGCTGGAGTTCATATCCAGGTGTTGCCAGCTTCGAAGTCCAAGGTGCTCTTTGCACTTCGCCTCCCAGCCCATCTCCTGCACCCCCAGCCCTCGGCAGATGGCCAGACACACAGCCGGTTGTCTTTCCTGCTGAGCAGCTGAGTCGGGGGTGACCTGAAGAGGGCCAGGGCGTGGACAGAAGCCACAGCCCTCATTTCTCATCCAGTGGGGTACGGTGGTCCAGGGCTCTGGTCCACTTTGTGCCTGTGGCTCCCTGGGCCAGAAAACTCTCAGGCGTCACTTGGGATTCAATTTCAAGTCCCTTTGGGACCAGGCTTGTTTTTCTTTGCCGATCTGACCCTATATGATCTCAGACCTCAGGAGCTGGTTAATCTGAACACACCTGATGGATAATTGTTTCTAACTTAGTACCTGCACTCCCTGCCTGTTAGAAGCATTAGGAGACTAGGAGGGACTCTGCCGGCGGCAGGCCTATAAAAAAAATCAGAGGGGCAAGCCAAAAAGAACACGCCAACAGGCCAAAGCGATGCAGCAGACCCCATCACTGGTCCACTTGTCCTGAGATGAGTAAGATGCGCCGGCAAGATTAGCCAGGACCCCAGGGGGCACTTCTGTCACTCCTGCTTCCATGGGTTAGATGGAGGGGAAGAGCAGAAAACCTGATCTCTATTTAAAATGTCCAGTTTTGTATTTAGAAATGGAAGTCTTTATGCACAGAGACCAGAATGAGAAAACAGGTGGTGTAAGGCTGGATACCAGGATCTCAGTGAGAGCTGGTGACATCACCACATCCAGAAAGCAGTCTGCTATCTCCAGCAGGGCGTGCTTTCCCAGCAAAGGTCACACTGTCTAAATGACACATCCCTAACCCGCAGGAAATGAAGACAGGTAGAACTAACGTAAACACGAGACTGACCCCTGACACAGCGGCGCCCCCAAGAGAAACGGGTGCAGGTGTCCACCCAAAGACACATGCACAGATGCATGTAGCAGCTTTATTCACAAGGAGAATCAGAAAACAACCCAAGTGCCCACTGAGAAGAGAATAGATACACAAAGTGGGGCAGAGTCATGCAACGGATGCTTCAGATCGAGAGCAACAAGGGAGCTGCTGGGTCATGCCAGACACTGCCGTGCCAAAGGAACTGGACGCCGAGGAATACACGCTGTCCCACCCCTCTGCCAGCAGTTCTAGGACAGTGACGGAGACTGACCAGTCAGAACGGTGGTCACCACTAGGGGGCACTGCCTGGGAAGGGGCAGGAGGGAACTTCCAGTGCTGGAAAAGTTCTCTATTTCCATCAAAAAGGTGGTCACAGAGAGGTAGACAGATGACGTAATTCATGGATCGCAGGACCGGCAACATCATTTGCAAGATCTCATGCAAACTGAAAATGAGGGGTCTCTTGTTGGTACACTTCAGTTTTACTTTAATAAAAAAGCAAAACTAATGTGTATAGAATCAGAAGGAAAAACATCTTTTTTTTTTGAACGGAGATATTGCGGATTGAACTCAGAACCTCGTGCATGCCAAGAATGCATTCTACCACTGAGCTGTACCCACCCCCTAGAAGAAAAGAAACCCTGATTTTGGGTGGGGGGAGCTGTTGGGGAAGGGAGTGATTTTTAAAAAGGCCCCACATCACTCCTTTATGTAGTTTCTGTTCGACTTGACAGTGCTCATTTCCTGGCTCCCTGGCCAGACTGCCTTCCAAAACTCATTAGACTGGCGTATTCAAAGGAGAAGAATTAAATCAAGCCGAAGAGCTCAATCAAGCTGGAATGTACATTGGAAATTTGTATTTGTATTTAACTCAGCTGGGCTTCAGAAGGAGCTGGAAAACCAGGAAAGATGGCACCTTCTCCCCCACGTGACCCAAGAAAACAGCAGGAGGCTCGGCAGGACGACATCCCAGTCCAGCGAAGACGCTGGGGGTGTCTGGGGTGAGCCACACAAGCCCTGTCTGCCAGAAGCGGGCGGGAAGACTGAGGCATCCAAGTCAGGGGGTGACGATCGGTGGTGAGCTTCCACAATGGGCAACCCAGCAGGCAGCAGCTCAGGGCGGGTGACTGATGGAGATGGGAGCACCCCACAGACAAGGATGGGCCTTCCTGGGCTCCACCTCCGCCTGAAGATATTCTTCCTTGGCTTGAGTTTTATTTTTCTTTTTGGCTCAGAGAGGGCAAGAGGCTGGGGGGTGGGGAGGTAGCCCTTGGACCTGTCAAGATTCAGAGCTGACCAAGACTCCTGCCCTGAGCACGTTTTGAAAAAGACAATTCCCAGAGGCCAGACAGGTACAGAGCCCAGCTTTCAGGGGTGCAGAGGAGTGGACAGGCTACCCTCACTGCAGGGGCACCGTGGGGAATGGGACATGGGACATGGGGGGCAGAAGCTATGGCTCTGGAGCTTCAGAACTGGGGTCAAATTTCACAAGCCTACCCTGTGAGTTACCGCACCCCCTCCCCCAAGGTCATGAGCAGCGTTACCTCAAGCACTGTGTGTAAGTCTATACATGTCACTCTTCTCATCCCAAAATGGACATCACACCAATGAAAACCATTCCTTGTCACGTTGCAGCATTACACAAATGCATTATGTACACGCCCTCATATGAGTTCTACAACCAGCTCACACGGCGGGTACTGATAGCATCTTCATTTTGCAAATAAGTGAGCTAAGGCACAGAGAGGTTAAGCAACTTGCCTAAGGTCACACAGCCAGGATACAAGCTGAGCTGAGGTTTAAACCCAGGGACCCTGGCTGTAGAATCTGTGCTCATAATCACTCCACCATCCTCTTTAGGGATATAGGGAGTGAAACAGTGAGAAATCCTAAGTAAAATGGCCTCCAATGTGGCTGATACTCAAAATTAACCCCCTCCTATTTTCTTCCATTTTTCTGAAGTACGGTGTTGTGGCATCATTTAACCACTCCGGCTCGGTACTTAATTAAGAAGGGACAACCCAGAAAGGTTAAGTCATTAGCCTAAGGTCACACAGCATGTATATACTGAAGTGGGAACATAATCAAGCATTACATGTCTTACTCCAGGGAGATTTGTGACTTTCTTCTGGGACCCATGTGGCACTTATGGTGAATTTTCTTTTCTTCTGTAATTTGGTGAGAATTTGTCTCTTTTTCAAGTTTGGAGAAGGGGTGGGCTGCTGCTGGAGCTACAAATTAATGAACGTGGACATAATCTTGGTTTGGATTTATTTACATCTTCCATAAATCATTTTTATTGAGTGCCTGGGGTGTACAAGGCATTGTGAGCGGTCCTACGCATTAAGGCAAGGAAAAAATAAACATTACAGACACTTGGTATATACTGCAGACTACTTAAATATCCAAAGGCATCAAATAAATCATCAGACTGTTTAGAAATAGGCTCTGGCATGCTCCCTGCAAACCTTCATACAAAACCCCAAAATTGTGCAACTTGCAATGAGGGCTGCTTGGTGCTGGGAATATTTGTTAACGCAAATGAATGGGTCGTAGGTGCTGGAGTCGTCCACGTTTTGGAGTTTGGGAATATAGTGGCTTCCTTCTCAGTCTCCCTACTCGGACTAACATCTTCTTCAAACGAGCAATAAAAAAAAAATGGAGCCATAAAACACTGACAGCACACCATTTGCAATTTCGCTGACCCAGCCCAGAAACAATCTCTGCACCATCTTGAAAGGTGTCAAGAACATGACTGTTAGAAGTGAAGGCTGGGGAGCTGCAGGTGCATGCACACACACGTGCACACACACAAACATGCATGCCGCCCCTGTTTCCTTCACAGCGTGGTAGGGGGAGGGTTATAGAAGAGCTTGCATGAGATCTCGCCGTAAACTATAAAACCTGTTTCTGCAGACAAAGAGCTACTACCCACCACTTAAATAAGGGCTGACTCCTATTACAACTTCAATCCAAATGGATTTGCTGTTTCTTCTCCATTTTAAAGTCTAGCGGAGGTAAACCCACTCCCTCCTTTTGCATATCTTGTAGCTCAGGAGCAGAATCTGTTTCCTTCCTCCTTTATTCGGTAAAGGCTGAATAAGCATCAGCTGTGTGTCAGGCACTGTGCCAGGCACTGGGGAAACTGAACATAAACAGGACGTGCCCCTGTCCTCAAGGAGCCCACAGTCTAATAGGGGAAACCCCATGTAAGTCAGGCATCA